ATAATTATGAAACGCAGTGTATTGGCCACGGAATTGCAAGGCGTAAGTACTCTGACGAAAGTGCCTGCGTAATTATCATATGGGTTCGCAAGAGTGGACTGCCCACAAAGAAAGTGTCAAATTGGCTTGCTGACTAGAAAGGTTATGCCTTATCGATATGAAGTAGAATATATTTTTTAGGGAAGAAATTCAAACTAATTATCGCTAATAACGCATGAATAATATTTTGCATTTTGCCAAGCGTATGGCATTTTTTGAGCAAAACTCCAGCGCTATTTATATAGGTAACCTTCACGCTTTCATCCTTGCCAAAAATTCTATGAGACTCAAGTTGCTGGCATTTCAAACAGGCGAAGTAGGTGAGGGCGGCGCGCTCTCAAAATCGCTCCTGTCCCACGCGGTCAAAAATGCTAAAACACCACGGTGGAAGGGCAATAATCCGCGCCTCCGCGTCCTCGATGACTCAGTGGTCCGCCATATTTTGACGTGAGATTCAATGTTTAAAATAAGCAGCATGACCACGGTAAGGTCAAGGCCATGGACTAGTCACCAGAAATTTTCTCTCATCGACTCTTTCTCCAAACAGGTATCACTCAATTTGGACGGCAAGCTCGAGGATGAAATTGATGCGTAAGAGCGTTTAATAATGAGGGTGGAGGTGCAGAGCGGGTTGGAAGTGAAAAGGAAAGCCGAATCATCGAAAACTCTGAATAGAGGTCACCACAAGAATGCTGAGATGTGGGCAAAACTTTCGCCATAGCATGGATTCGTACTCTCATCTCTTGCCTTTCGAGCACCAGCTGTGTTACCCGTTGCACCACCGGGCACCCAACTAAAAAACATTTAGGCTAACACTCGCACCGGCTCCCCCACTTTCTTCACGATTTGGGGCGCGGCCGCGGCAAACCCGCGGCGTTCGCGGCCGAGTAGTGCGGCATCAGCTTGCCTGAGTATTCGACGTTACATTACGTGTCGTAATGTAACGTCGAATACTCAGGCGAGTTCATCCGATCGTAACCGCGAAGTGCGGCGTAAAGCAGCAATTATTCCATAAAAACAAGTCAAAATGGTAAAAATCAATAATGCATTCAGCCTTGCGGTTTACTGCCGATATCGGCTAACCGGCTCATCACGTTATACGTGTGAATGCTGATAAGCTATGGTAACTTTACCATCGAAGCTGAGTTGGGGTGAAGAGGCGGTGTAACTGGTAGCACAATTGCCAGGAGGCAAGAGATCCTGGTACGAATCCCGGCTGGGGCGACAGTTTTGCCCACAACCCAGGGTGTCCCCCAAGAGGCCCGTCGCGCGGCGAAGGAAGAGACGCAGACGCGGCAAAGGACGAGTCGCAGCATACTGTAGCGGTTAGGCGTCAGGTTAAATAGAGTGTACCATACTACGTCTCATATCGCACAGCACGCGCTGCGACTCGTCCTTTGCCGCATCTGCGTCTCTTCCTTCGCCGCGCGACGGGCCTCTTGGGGGACACCCAACAACACAGTATACTTGTGGTAACTTTCGCAACGCGAACTATAACGCAAAACAGCAGTTCCAATAGAAACAGTTCAAAGTGATAACATTTGAGCTGAGGCCAAAGCTTCTGTGAGTTCGGATGTGGTACAACGGTTTACGGGCTACCTGAACATCTTTCCATGGTCCTGCCACGAATGGTGGAGAGCACAGAGAACGGCGCCTGGCTCGGCTCCAAATCCCAAGGAGGAGGTGAGAGCCCTAGGACTAAGCCTTGTAGGGGGGAGGGATCCGAGGTGGGTGAGCCAACTACAGTGTGGCAAAAGTTTGAATGTGTGAGATCACAATGGTCATGAGCCGCTGATAAGCCAAGAGAGCGCAGATGAGTTCGGGGCTGCTTGAACCCGAGTTCCTGTAGCCCGTCGACCTACTACGACGGAAAGACAGAGCGACCAGAGAAGACACACGGTCCTGCCGAGAGAGCACGTCGTGCGAGAGGGCGTAGACAAAGTGTTGTAGCGGCCACCTCCAAAGGACTACTGGGCAACCCATAAATGACCGTCAATGATGACTTCGCAGCCGTTGCATTTAACAGGCCGCAAACAAATCGAATTCATATAGGTGATCACACAGAACGACTGTTTTAGAGTAATGAAAATTCTCAGGAACAATTACACAAGAAACACTCACGGCAGCGCTTATTACAGCACATCAAGTTTTGATTCATTCTGCGGATATGGAATGATGAAGATGGACAGATAGAGCTTCATGTTTTGGCGCTACTTTTAGAAGCGACGGTGTTTCACGAGTACCCGACAGGAGGCCTGTCGGTGAGAAGGAGGCGCAGATGGGTCAATGGACGAGTCGTAGCGCGTACTGTAAAGTGGGGTGATGGACTTATTTTCTATAAATGACATTATAACGCTAAATCGCATACAGTGCATGGCGCCAAATCGCTACAGTGCGACTCGTCCGCTGACCCGTCTGCATCTCTGCCTTTTCGCCGCGCCACAAGCCTCCTGTCGGCCTTTTAGGTAGTGCAGAGAATATCTATGAATGCAACAAGCGCGATCATTTCTTTACCAGTGCAGCGCTTCTAAAAAACACACATTTTCAGTTGAGCATAAAGAAGCGTGCCAAGGTTTATTTACGAAAGTAGTTTGAGTCCGAAGAAACCATTCACTTCGACTACATCCAGAGTACTACCCTTCGATGGCAGAAAATCGTGAGAAATCATCATCTTCATATCAAAGAATAGTTACTATTTTCTGTACGAATTCAAACAGAAACTTGGAATCTTTGGTGAATCATGGCATCGAGCCCGGGTGCTTTTGAGAGCTCTAGCGGCTGACGTGAGCGCAGGGTCAACCCTACGTTGCTACAAGTAGCAATGGGGGGGTCGTACTTGGATGGACTTGGAGGGGGGTCGTAGGTAGCACGAAACATGTGATGAGGTGAGAGCGCGCTGGAGAAAATTTGCCGTTTCAGCGTAGCGTACCCCCTAGAATATGTAGCGATGATGTAAATATAGGTGAAATATATAGGGGAATGGGGGAAAATGAAGGGAAATATAGGGAAATTTTGCGGTTTCATGGTAGGTACATGGTAGGTATATACCCCCCCCCCCTTCCCCGCTCGACGGTGTTTTGAGGGAAAAAGTAGTTGTGAAGAGGGGTCGTATGAAACTTCTCGTGAAGGAGGGGGGTCGTAAAAATTTTGCAAAAAGTACCAACGATAGGACCGACCCTGCGTGAGCGACTGTAGGCATTAATGGAAGGGAAATTACCTGCTCAATTTTGTCGAACATTGCTAACAGCACTTCTATGTACCGCTTCTTTGCTTCCTCTTGTGAAGTTCCTTCGACGGCCTTCCAAGCATCCCTGGCAGTCAATTTTTTTGACAAACACACTCAACCTTTTCACTACATCATTGATGTAAAAAGGAACATGTAAAAGGTTGATACTCACCACTTTTTCCTCTCAATTATGCTGAATATACTTGGTCGTTCAGTATTCACATCACCAATGGTTGCTTGCTTGAAGAGAGAGTAAAACTCGAGCTTTTGAGTGTTCGACGTACTCACTGGCCCTGTTTGGAAACGTGGATTTATTTTGATTTTCTTTCTGCTATATTGTAACATCTTGTACTAGTGAAGAAGGATAAGCCGTAAAAAATATGTACAGGGAAGAGAAGACAGTCATAAATATTTAACGAGAACTGAGATGAGGTCTCATCCAGTATGGCAGGGAGGGGGGGGGAAGGTGCGACAGCTCTTGGCTCTGTAGAAATTCCAATTTTCGCAGTGAAGCAAATCCCTCAAGTTTGTGTACCCTTTCATTTTGATTATCACCCACTCCCGAGCCTCTTCCTCTTGCAAAAACTGAATTATCTTAACCGAAGTGGACTGTCGCATCACATGCCCCCCCCCTACTCGATGAGAACCCTGAGCTGTATCCAACCTTCTTTTGGTAGATTCTGGATAATCGCCACCGCTGCTTCAAAGCGTTCATCAAGGGACATTCTGCAATGAAATCATATTACTGGAAGGCGAACTTGAAATCACATCAGTCACAAATATCGTGAAGTGCCTTGCGTATTTTCACGCCCGTCGCAGATTGAAACATAAAATAATAGAACGGAAAAGAAGGAAAGAAGGGAAAACTTTTGGCGTCGTCTGTCTTCGTGGAATGCGCTACGCATTCTACTCACGTTCAAAATTGTAGCGGCATTTGAATATGACTTAATGTTTACAATAGCTTGCTGAGGTAAGGCAATTAACCAGACAACGATTTTACTCCCAAGCAGGGTCAATATCGGTCGAGAATTCCTCAACGGCACGTCGAGGATTTTCGCCTGATCTGTTACGTTCTCCAGCACGGACATTCATACTCGCCATGCGGCGCGCCGTGTGCTCTCCGCGCGTAGTTCACACTCGGCACTACTCTCGCACAGCGCGCGCATGGTCGAGAATCTCACTTTTTTTTCACCCATTTCGCAGGCTTTTATCAATTTTTGTATTTCCATTATTTTCCTTAGTTTATTAACATATTGAAGAATGGTATACAGCGAGTAGAGATGCTTACGCTTGAATTCAATCTCTTTTGCATTCTTTGTACACAAGACATTCTATGGCTGGCACACTGCAACATTCTATGGCATTCTATGTATGATCGAAGTATATAGAATGTGGCGCGCTCTATGTACTTCGATTCATACATTTGCAGAGGCACTTGAATGCTACTATGTCATTATTTGCGCAATTCAGTCGATTTGAAGCAGTCGTTTTTATTTCCATACAAACCTGGTATCAGTTCATTGGCCTTGGTTAGGAGCTCCATCTTCTCGCACTGAACAAGTGTGTATACCAAAACAAAAGAAGAGATTCTTCACGATGGTAGTGAGATTATGCGTCGCTTGTTACGTACTCCGTCAACTATTGCATTTACTTTGGTTTGTTCTGAAAAATACTTGTTCATTCAGTTGCGTTCAGTAGAAAACAAGGATCGTCATCATACTAAAGTGATAAGACGATGTCATAGTTTAGCGAACGGAGCGTTTCTCTAGGGAATTCGCGCACTTGAGTTTGCCGCCAGCGAATCGACGATGTACGCGACTCAATAGTGCTGGAGCCGACGTCTAATAGGAGCCTTCCACTTTAAACAGTGTTCATGGGGGGTCAGGGAACGCGTTAAAGTGGCGGGACTTTTGGCTGGTGGCCTGTTTGAAAGTGGCGGGCTTCCTTTAAACGTTGGGTGTCGCCACTATTGAGTCGCTGGTACCTAGTTCGACTCGCTGGCGCAACGTTCGATTCGCTGGCGCAACGCTCGATTCGCAAACTATGACATCGGCCTAAAAGTGCTATCATTTATTTTGTTTATTGAGTTTCGACTTCTATTAGGCTTGATTTGCAATTGTCCCTAATTTCATAAAAAAGAAGCTGGATAAATAATGGTGCACAGAGACCTACCAATTTGTACGCGACTCGTCATTGCAGTTGTCAGGGATTGGGGTCAGGTTTGAGGTTAGGAAGAGGTCCAGTGGTCGATTTCAGTTTTTAGCCCTGGTGTTCCGTAGATGGTTGAAATGCCCGTCAAGGACAAGAAAGAGAAGTAGTTGGAAGGAACGATGATGGGAGAACGGAGGATAGAAAAAGACCCCCAGCGAGTCCTAGGTTTTTTCACATCGTTTTTTGCGGATGACACTACTCATCAGTCTTTCTTTTACTCTTAGCGACCACGACAAACAGTTTTGTGCAGACAGAAAGAGGAATGCTTGGTATCGTGTTAAAATATTGAGAAATGTCGCAGTGGACTTTGCTTGCGGCAGGCTATCAAACGCTCTCACTTTGTGGTGAAAATGGGGTCCTGGGGAGGAAGGGATGGACGACTCCCCTTTGAGCTTCCAATAGATAAGTACCGGTGCACTTTTGAGGTGTTTCCGCATTTCGGTCGGCTGGCCCCGGAGTCCAGGAAGCGGTCCTAAACCAGTAGATGGACATCTTGAGCTAGGCCATTAGCGAGGGAGGGTGGATGACTAGGTTCAAAAAATTGAATATGATGTGGGCAGAATGAGTGGGATATGGAACTCTCACCAGGCCTCATCAAGCTGTTCACGCATTCTTATCGTTAGTTCCAGAGAGCCCAAAGAAGGTCTCTCTAGTGCTAACAGGGAAGCCCTTGAGGTCATCATGGCCGTTCTGAATAAGATGTATGGTTCTATAAGCACCTTTCGATGCTGAACTTGAATTTGGGTGTCAATCTCTAAAACGATCCACTAGGGAGCAGGGTCAACCCTATGTTGCTACAAGTAGCAACGGGGGGGTCGTATTTTGATGAGTTTGTAGAGGGGGGGTCGTACTTGCTTCGGTTGTAAGAAGTTGCATGTGATGAGTGGGGAGCGGCGCGGGAGAAAATTTGCCGTTTCAGCGCGCGTATATACCCCCTAGAAAATGGAGCAGTTGAAATATGGGTAAAATACATGGAAATTGTAGGGAAATGTAGGGAATTTTTGCGGTTTTAGGGTAAGTATATACCCCCCGCTCGACGGTAATTTTTTGGGGTAAAAATTGTTTTGAAAGAGGGGGTCGTATGAAACATTTCATGAGGGAGGGGGTCGTAAAAACTT